CTGCCCGGTTTAATTGACTCGCTTTATGCTTCGAAGTACAGCCACAATGCCAATAATAGAGGGTTATCGGTTTGAATAAGATCTCAGAAAGAAAATTCTTTATCGAATGAAAAGTAAACCTTTCAATGAAAAGAAATAGCCTTTATACAGGCTGCAAAACCTAATTCGACTAGAACTAGAACTAGAACTTTAGGAAAAAAATAACTAAAATAAGGAAAAGTACTAAAAATTCCAAAAATAAACAAATTCTAATTAACAACATAAATCAAAAACCCTAAACTTAAGCAGCAATCTGTTCTACATCAGTCTTCCCTACTGGAAAAGAACTCGACCTCGAGTTAATTAATTGAGAAGACGACACCTCAGGAGGATGATATTCAAACAAATCAGCAACATCGAAAGTAGGAGAGATGGTCATATCTACAGGAAGGTCCACGACATAGGCATTATCATTAATTTTCTGCACAATCTGGAAAGGACCATAATTCTTGTCTAGCAGCTCGTTGTATGTGCCAATTGGCAGCCGCCCTTTGAGCAAATAAACCATCACTAGATTCCCCTCTTCAAATACCTGAGCCCGTCTGTTTTTATCTGTACCAGCCTTGTATTTGAAATTAGATGCCTTCAAATTTTTTCGCACATCTTCTTGAGTATCCTTGATACGATCTGCCATATTTTCTGCTGCAATACTCAAACCAGGAAATTTTGGCAGAGGAACCAAGTCTAAAGCATGGCGTGGAGGACAATAATAAACAATTTGGAATGGGGTCTTCCCAGTAGACCGATTGAGCATATTGTTATAAGCAAATTCAACTTGTGCAAGAGCAAGATCTCACTGTTTTGGCTTCTCTCCAGAAAGACAGCGAATTAAATTCCCAAAACTGCAATTCACCACTTCTGTTTGACCATCGAACTGAGGATGACTTATGCTACTGAAATTTAGGGATGTTTCAAACTGCCACCACAAAGGCCGCCAAAAATGACTCAAGAATTTGGTGTCCCTATCTGAAGTGATGGATTTGGGAATCCCATGCAAATGAACAACCTCTTTGAAAAATAAATTTTCCATGAGCACTACATTGAAGGTCTTTTTGTAAGCAATAAAGTGAGTCATTTTGGAATACCTATCAACCGCCACAAAGACATAATCAAATCCGCGCTGGGTTCGCGGAAGGCCCAAGACAAAGTCCATGGAAAGATCCTCCCAATGTGTTCCTGGAATGGGCAAAGGCATGTACAGAACCGTATTTTGAGATTGGCCTTTGGCAGCGTAACAGATGGGGCATCTTTTAACATGAATGCCAATGTCTCGTTTCAGTTGGGGCCAATAGTACCTATCCTCAGCAAGAGCTGTTGTTTTGTCACGACCCAAGTGTTTACCCAAGCCTCCACCATGTAATTCATGAATTATTTGATCTCGTAGTGAACTCCTCGGGATGCGCAATTGGCATCCTCGAAACTGATAACCCTCTTGAATATGCATTCTGTCAATGGAAGGTCTTGACTGACATTTTGCTCAAATATCCTAAAATCTTCATCGTCTGCATACAGCTCCTTGAGACAATCAAACCCAATCACTTCGGTCCATATTGTGACTAGCATCAATGCCCTCCTACTTAGACCATTTGCTGCCCGGTTTAATTGACTCGCTTTATGCTTCGAAGTACAGCCACAATGCCAATAATAGAGGGTTATCGGTTTGAATAAGATCTCAGAAAGAAAATTCTTTATCGAATGAAAAGTAAACCTTTCAATGAAAAGAAATAGCCTTTATACAGGCTGCAAAACCTAATTCGACTAGAACTAGAACTAGAACTTTAGGAAAAAAATAACTAAAATAAGGAAAAGTACTAAAAATTCCAAAAATAAACAAATTCTAATTAACAACATAAATCAAAAACCCTAAACTTAAGCAGCAATCTGTTCTACATCAGTCTTCCCTACTGGAAAAGAACTCGACCTCGAGTTAATTAATTGAGAAGACGACACATCAGGAGGATGATATTCAAACAAATCAGCAACATCGAAAGTAGGAGAGATGGTCATATCTACAGGAAGGTCCACGACATAGGCATTATCATTAATTTTCTGCACAATCTGGAAAGGACCATAATTCTTGTCTAGCAGCTCGTTGTATGTGCCAATTGGCAGCCCTTTGCGCAAATAAACCATCACTAGATTCCCCTCTTCAAATACCGAGCCCGTCTATTTTTATCTGTAACAGCCTTGTATTTGAAATTAGATGCCTTCAAATTTTTTCGCACATCTTCTTGAATATCCTTGATACGATCTGCCATATTTTCTGCTGCAATACTCAAACCAGGAAATTTTGGCAGAGGAACCAAGTCTAAAGCATGGCGTGGAGGACAATAATAAACAATTGGGAATAGGGTCTTCCCAGTTGACCGATTGAGCATATTGTTATATGCAAATTCAACTTTTGCAAGAGCAAGATCTCACTGTTTTGGCTTCTCTCCAGAAAGACAGCGAATTAAATTCCCAAAAGTGCGGTTCACCACTTTTCGAATTAACCTAAAGAAGTGAGGATGATGTTCACCACTTAACTCCCACAAATCAAATCCATTTATAACTAGGGGCTTTTCACGATGTTAATAAAGTAAATATTGAGTGTAACGATTACACCACATAAATATCTTTAAGTGGTGTAACGGTTCAACGGTAAATAAACAAATGGGCAAGTAAACTCCACTTTTTTCATACGTGACGATTGCTATTTTTTACATAGAGGAGTGGTTATTTGAATAAGTGATTTCAATTTTTTCTAATTATTGAATTATCATTCTATAATTATATCACGTAACGAAATAGACGTATTGTAACCGTTCCACCCTATTAGGTCAGTCCGTGAACTTCTTATGTCATGGCTTACGTAGCACATGGCTGCCATCGGCTCCATTCAGCAAACTTAAACATTTCTAAATGACTCTGCACTAAACTTTTGCATCTTTTCAACCATTTAGGAAAAAAAAATTTGACAGGATTAAGACATGTTTTGTCAATGTAATTTATCTTTTTTTTTGGTTTAACGATCAAAATATTTAGATTAAGTTATGCATATTTCGATTAATTTTATCTTCGGTCGTATAAAAAACAATTAAGTTATCACTTATTGTCAACAAAGGCGTCTCACGTGTTCCAAAAGGCACTCTTCAAAGTCCGGTAAACATCATGATCAAAAATAAAAAAAGTCTCCACCTTCTTCGGTATAATTTTCATCAACTTTACTCAAAAATGGAATATTTATTTGTGTCCTAGGGAGAAATTTACGTATATATCTATATAATAAAATAGTTTATAATATAAATTTCAAAAGATAAACAAAATGACTTTTGTTATTCGCAGTTGAAATACTTTTAATTTTTACTTTAAAATTAATCTAACGACTAATATTAACACCATAAATTTAATAGAAAAAATAGGTCCTAACAGCGTGTTTGGAGTGATTTTTAAAAAGTACTTTTACAAATTATTTTTCATAATTTTTTTTTTAAAAATAGTGTTTAAAACCGTCACACCACTACCTCTATTACCACCACCGCCACCATTGCCGTTACCACCACCGTCGCCACCACCACTGTTCTAGTTGCCGCTACCACCACTATCAGCACCGCAGCCCTCGCCCTCCCCCCCACCACCGTCATTACAGTCATTACCACTCACTACAACCATCACCGTCTTCTACTATCACCACTGCCGCTCACCATCTCTCACCCCCACTATAAATCGATGCTTAAATTTCTTTATTTTCTCTCTATGTTTGTGATTTAATTTTGAATATGAATACAAATATCTTTACTGTTTATCATTTTTATTATTTTGTGCCTTCAGACACAGGTAATAACTAGTAATGAATATTAGTTGAATTTAGGATAGATGATATACTATTTAAGAAGGAAAAATTTAGGCACCCTTTTATCATATTTTTAAAGATACCCCCTCTATTTTTTGAATCTTCATTGATAGCCTTTGTTAGTGTGTGGCCAGTAAGTTTTACCTTTATACCTCTATGCTTGAGATTGATTAACCAGCATATTCGACTGATAAATATATCCAAACAGCAAAAAGAATTCTACAAATTGGAAAAATTAATTTTTAGCTAATTTTTGTCCTATTAAATATGCAAAAATTAACAAACAAAATAAATATATAGATTGATTTATAAGTTCGTGTCGAACGCTAGTCAACTTAAATCCAACTCATTTAACTGGTCTCAATGCATCACACAAGTTATCATTTGTTCATAACCTAATGCCTCGAATGTTTGATGAATCTAATAACACAAAGATTAAGTCTATTAAGCACATTCATAAAATTTAAATTTATTCACTTTATTGTTTTGTTCTGATGTGAAATAAAGCATGGTGTGTCAATCCAATCGAATTTTAATCAGCTCGAATTGAATTTTAATTGGTCTAAATTTTAATACGTAAAAAATATAAATTTAAATTGATTTAAATTTTAATATGTAAAAAATAAATTTTAATCAATTCAAATCGAATTTTAATCGGCCTAAATTTTAATACTTAAAAAATATAAGTTTTAATAGACTCAAATCGAATTTTAATCAGTGTTATTACCTCAGGATTGAACTCAAATCAGTTCGAATTTTAATACGTAAAAAAATAAGTCTTATCGGCTCAAATTAATTTTAATTAGCTCAAATTTTAATATGTAAAAAAATAAATTTTAATTGACACGAATTTAAATATGTAAAAATATAATATTTAACCAGCTCGAATTTTATGTAAAAAAAACTGCTTGAGATTTATGTAAGGGCAATTTTGATATTTTAGATTTTCTTAGTTAGAAGCGGTGGTTTAACAATATAGGAATTAGTAATGTTTAAACATAAATTAAAAGAGATGATAGTGAAGATTCAAAAAATAGATAAAGTATCTCCGTAAATATGATAAATTAGAATGAGCACAACTATCATTAGAACGAGTGTGACCGGAAATTTTCCTTTAAAACAGACTATAAGAAGAAGCAATTGACAGAGGCAGAAGAAGCAATTGACAGAGGCAGAAGAAGCAACCACAGATCTCATGTCAAGCCAGGGGGTGAAGTTAGTGGGGTTCTGGGTGAGTCCATTTGTCTTGAGGGTAGAGTGGGCTCTGAAACTGAAGGGTATTGAGTATGAGTACATAGAAGAAGACATCTTCAACAAGAGCCCTCTGCTCTTGGACCTCAACCCTGTGCACCAGAAGGTCCCTGTGATGGTTCATGATGGCAAAGTCATGGCCGAGTCGTTTGTTATTCTCGAGTACATCGATGAGACCTGGAAGCAGACCCCATTGCTGCCTCAGGATCCTAATGAAAGAGCCATGGCCAGGTTTTGGGCAAAGTCTGTTGAAGAGAAGGTAATAATTACAGCTACTTCACTTATTTTCATAACTATTTTTTAAATTTGTTAAATTTTGGCCCTATATTTGAAATTTTCGAATCGAATATGAGAATATTCCTCTATTATCCCTAGTTTAGAAACATGCCAACATGAAAATGAGGGATTTCATTCGGAGACTTCTACTGCGGGATGCCCCAACCCAGTTTTACTATGTCGTTGTTCCACGTCTATCATCACTTATACATCGAAAACCGTGAACCTAAACCCTCTTAGTGGTATGACTTTCTTAAGTGACCTTCTGTTCCGTAGGGGATTTAGCTGATAGTTTAGTACTGCTAGCATAAGAATATATTATCAGTAAGAATAATCCGTACTGATAATATATCCATACTCGTTTTACTGATCATCTTGAATTATTATTAATTGGGATTAACTAAGATTGGACTGTTTTTAATTAGGCAACTAGCTTAAAATTGGGATTTTCCCATTCAAATATAGGTGTCAAACATTTGAAGTTAGGGAAATTTTTTTTTAACAGTTTAATGCGTGAGACTCTCACCATTGTGGCGATTTCACGTAAAATACAAACCAAAAAAATAAATAAATAAATTTCATCATACATGAATAGAAATTTTCCTTCTTAAGTATATACTAAAGTAAAACTTTTATGGTAAGTATAGGAACAAAAATTTGCACAATCACTAAAATGTATTGAGGTATACCTTTTGTCTTCGAATATCATTTAGTATGTGAGCTACAAAACAAACATGAGGTTAGAGGGACCGCAATGTTGAGGCAGGGGAAGTCCCCCCAATACTTAAGTCAGTATTGCGATCAATAATTGAACAAACAAGTACATAAAATTAGGAAAATTGTAAGAATGTGTGTGTATAAGGTGTGTAGCTGAGAGTTCTCGTAACAGGGCCTTCCTACCATTGGGTCTTCACCCATCTTTATCGAGAAAATTCAGACCTGCTTACTAGTAAGAGGTCATGCTCCTTGTGTTGTTATATTCTCGAGATATGTGCCTTTCTTTTCAGATATTAAAATTTATGTTTGATTCCAATCAATTGGTCAAAAAATTGTCGGCTTTGTATTGTCTTGAAAAATAAATTATGGGTTCCACCATGTGATACGGGGCTCTCCCAATAAATGTAAGTTATGGTCTTACATTAATTCTTTTTTTTTTTTTTTTCGACCCCTTTTCAATTCTCTGATACTATTTTTGCACAGCTTTTGGAAACTGCATGGATAGCTATGTGCTCACAAGGAGATGAAAAGGAAAATGCTCTGAAATCAGCCAGGGAGGTCTTAGAAAAGATAGAGGGAGAGCTCAATGGAAAAAAGTTCTTTGGAGGGGAAGCCATTGGATATTTGGACCTTGCTGTAGGATGGATTTCTTTCTGGTTGCCTGTTTGGGAGGAAGTTGGGTCCATGAAAATTTTAGACCCATCAAAATTCCCAAACATCATTGCTTGGATGAGTCATTTTCTCAAACACCCTGTGGTCAAGGAAAGGCTACCACCTAGAGATGAGATGGTTATATATTTCGACAAGCGTAGTAAAGAAATTGCTGCTCTCATAGCCTCTGCCAAACACGGTTGATGATAATAATTTGAATAGTGCTCTACTTATTGTACAAGTATTAATAAATAAAAGAACGAAATAATAAGAAAATCACGCCTCTGTTCATGGTTGTTTGGTTGAGTTGTGATTCTACAAAATGATCATCAAATATACGGAGTTGTCAATCCATTTGATAAATTTTATTTTTGATAAATATTTCGATATGTGTAGCAAATTTTCCTTTATATTTATAAAGAAGTAGTGATATGGTGTGAAGTGCTTAACTCATATCGATCACATTTGGATTGGTATATTCTAATTAGACAACGGTAATTTTTTCTTCACTCCGACTCATAAACTAAATGTGTGGAAAAATTGTTTGGCCTAATTTCTTACAGTTAGAGTCTATTTAAGAACATCGACTTCTTAAGAATATTATTGCAATAAATGAGGTGTATTTTTAGGAAATCTCCATTAATTTTGTTTAAAAAAATGGTTCTTTTTCCAGATGACCAGCTAACTCTAGCTTTTGGTAGGCTTGGGGCCCCCAACATTTCTTGGTTCATAAGTTTAGCGAGTGAAGAAAGTGAAAATCAGTCGACTCTGCACCTTAAACTTGGATGGCCGAAGGCCACAAGTTGTTGGGACATGTCTCATTTTCCAAGCAGACAGGGGCCGGCCCCAATGGCAAAGGCGGCTGTTTAGAGCAACGCCAAATCAGTCGACTCTGCACCTTAAACTTGGATGGCCGAAGGCGACAAGTTGTTGGGACATGTCTCATTTTCCAAGCAGACAGGGCCGGCCCCAATGGCAAAGGCGGCTGTTTAGAGCAACGCCAAAGGACTCAGTAAAGAGTCTTTTTTAGTTATTTTAAATAACTTCTTTTTAAAATTTGGCTCCGATAGACAATTTGTACCATTATCTATTTCTCATAACCTATTTTTTACTCGTTATTTTTGGCAAGCCACTTTGTTGTTTCTTGCGCCAATTTCTTCCCCCCCCCCCCCCCTCTCTCTCTCTCTCTCTCTCATAGAAGCTCTATCTATTTATACCATAGAAAAACCCATGAAAAATCCACAAAAAATCTTTTGAAATCTCACCGAAAACCCATGAAAATTGATGGGACTTTTCTGAAATACTCTATGATGAAGACACGTGTCCTCGGTATTACTAAAACACTGTTGCTATGATCAAGCATCATCGGCGCGCAAGGTCCTCTCCCCCGAGGCACTCAGCATATAGGATCATGCATTCAGTATGTTTTACACCGACACGTGGTCTCGCTCTGATATGGTACCTCGGTCGGTGTCCTTACCTCGGTGCCGAGATGATCCTTACCTCGGTGCCGAGGTGTACCGTCCAGGACGCCTCCTCTACTCCAGGATAAGCTATTGACGTACAGGTCATCAGCCTAGGCTAGTCTAGGTTATTCATCATGACCTCGTCTTACACAAGTAATGTCAGAACGTACTGGAATACAGAGGTCACAGCCAGTAGGGGATGGACGCGTGGCATATGATATCACATCGAAGGCAGACAAACCGCATGTCGTTGCTGACACGCGACTTGGGAAAGCAAACAATTAATTGCCCCATTCCCTTGATGAGACCGCATTCAATGCGGTAAGGTTCGGAAATGAAAGACAATAAATGCTCCTAATACAGAGCATTTATTGCATCCTTCCCGAGAGGAGCACATTGTACCGTCGGCATCCCGATGACCCAGCATTGATTGCTCGGGACCCCGAGCAGTTAATTCGAGAAGACATTCCTCATCAGAATCAATGCGCACGCTACCTGTGTCTAACGATCACTTACTGACCACACTGACAGCAATCATGAGCTTTTAAGGTATAAATACTCCTTGCAAAAGGCAAGACGGGTATGCAACAACAAACTCTTTACTACAATACACAATACATTCTCAGTGTTTTCTCCTTCCTCTCTCTTTCTAAGAGACTGACTAGATCGTCGGAGGGGATACGCCGGAAAACACTCCGGCGCCCTTCTAACTTGTTCTTCTTTGTTCCAGGAACCTCTTTCAGCCTTACTGGATCGTTCTTCCGTTCCCAGGATCTCCCATTGCCGTTCCAAGTTACCACCGTACCTTGCAGGCTGTTCCAAGCAGCGCGTTTGGTCACTCAACCGGCTCACTCGAGTTCACCAAGGGAGAGATCTGTTCTCGTTTTTTATATTGTGCAGGATCTTGCACGCACAAAAATCCACAAAAAATTCACTTAAATCCTACAAAATATTAACTAAAATCCCACTAAAAACCACTGAAACCCATCAAAAAAGTCACAAAAAAACTCAACGAAATCTATCTCGGTTCCCACCGAAAATTGTTTAAACTATCGAAATCTGTCTCTTGGTTCTCTCTCTCCGTCATCACACTGTTCTGATTTGGTGGAGAGAAGAAATTAGAGGTAATGAAATTTTTTTATTATGAAAAATTTTGCTTGGGTTGTGTGGAATGAGTTGCTTGGAATCTTGCGTGGGTTGTGTGGAATAAATTGCTTGGCTTTTGTGGAATTTTTCTGAAATTTGTCTATGATTTATTTTTATTTTTTGAATTTTTTTGGTTGGCTATGAATTTTTTTGAAATTTTTTTTATTTTCTAGTTTAGCTATAAATGACAAAATCTAAGGAAATTGTTTGAAATAAAAACATGATCTGTAAAAATTTGTAAATTGTGTTTGAATTTGTGAATTTGTAACTTGTGGTTAAATTAATTAACGATAGTTAAAAAAGAGAGCATTGTTTGAGTGAATTAGTAGTAATTGTTCTTTAAAATAGTTAATGTAATAAAAAAATATATATTTGAGTAACTATTTTAACTAGTATCATTGAAATTGCTCTTAGGGCCCAGTCTCAAAGATCCCATAATATGTATAAAATAAGGACATTTGAAGACCGATCCTCCTTTATGGACTTATTTAGAAATAAGTCTATCAAAGAAACTTGATTAATATTAAGTCTATTTTGAATTTTATTGTCTAAAATATTCTCCTTAGTTATATTTAATTACAACAAATTAAAAACTAACAACTCCAAAATTTTAGAAGTTTGATTAACATTAAAATTCTCTCTCTGTCTCATATTTATTTATATCTTTATATAGAACATGACTATTTATTTCTCTATTTTTCATCTATATATATATATATATATATATTAACATTAAAAATAAAAAATAGTAACATTTAAACACAAAAAAATAGTACCACTTAAATATAAAAAAATAGTAATATTTAAAAATAAAAATAATAACAATGAATATTAATATTTAAAAAAATAACATTAGTAACATGGTTAACAAAAAAAAAGTAAATTTGAATATCGATATTTCAGAAACATAGTAACATACTCATCAAAAAAATAGTGACATAATCAACAAAAAAAATAGTAAAATGCACAACAAAAAAATAGTAACATGAAAAATAAAAAGTAACATTCAATATTAAATTAATAATAGTGTTCTCAACAAAAAAAAAAATGGGAGAGAGAGATAGAGAAAAATAGTGATGTCAAATAAAAAAAAATGAAAGAGAGAGAGAGAGAGAGAGATAGAAGATTAGTAGTGAATAATGATGCCAATTTTAAATTTTATGGAAAAAAAACCTTCCATTATGTAAGATCAAATATGACTGTTTACGAAATTAATTTAATATCAAAGATTATTTTTTAAGTCATTAAAAGAGTATTTTAGAATTTTAAAGAAATAGTAGACTTAAGTACTTATTAGTAAGATTAAAAAAGAATTTACCGTCAAATAATTTTTCTTCGAGGACTAAACTCATTATAAGTTCCTTAAGGAGAATTCAACCCCAATTTTTACTATAAAATAACATATGTAATTTAGTCGAACAAAAAAAGACCCAAATAAAAAATAAATTAAAAGTATAATTGAATACATATTCTCTCTCTTCATTAATGCCCGGCCAACTATTGCTCAAAAACACGTCTCTCTCTCTCTCTCTCTCCCTCTCTCCCTCTCTCTCCATTTAATCAGTGTTTTAAAATCTGACCCGGACCGGCGGGTTGACCCGGACACTAAACCAGGTCGGTTCCCTAATCAGATCGTTCTAACATAAAAATCGGTCAAGACTCGTCAAACCGGGCAGGTTTTGACTCAACCGTTCAACCGAATGGCTATATAAAAATCGTATGGGTCATAATAGGCCTATAAATTAAAACATTTTGGGCATTTTTGCCCTAATAGACCATTCAACTTTGGATTTGTTCGATCGATCTCTCAGCCTCAGCCTTCTCTCTCTCTTACTCTCTCTTCGCAATTCGTCTTTGACGACTTCAAATCTGGTCTCTCAAGCTCCCAGCAACATGATCGCCACCATCCACCCAGATGGATTGAAGGATAACACATCTCCGTCAGTGCCACCATCGATCAACAAGCACACAGCCACCATCAACCCAAATTTACCACCACTACAACACCCAAGCCACCAGTCCAATCGTCACAGGGCCTAAGGGGCTAACAACAAGCCATAAAAAGAACCCACAAAACTACCCCTCTCACTGGCTATTTGTATTCGATTACTTCGAATTCGACTTCGAATCTGGTCTCTCAGTCTCCCAACAAGCAACCATTGTTGAATCTTGATCAACTTTGTCGTAACTCAATTCCTTAAATTTAATCTTTGTGGATTTTTTAATGGCGTTTGTGAACTTGTTTTTCTGTTTTCCGAAAGCAATTTTTCTTTGTTTTTTTTTTAATAAATGTGAATGGGAAGTTATACATTGTGTATACTTTGTCATCTGTTTGTGTCGGTGAGTGTTCCGTACTGGAATTCTGAATTTCAACTTTACGAAGCATTAATCGATTTCCTCGTTTTGATCCGAATTTTGATAGCTACGTTTTGCTTTCAGTTTTGTTTTGCAATAAAACTGTAAGTTTCTGGGCGATTCAGAGTCTTTTTCAATGAAATCGCAGATGCTTTTTCCCCCTATCTAAGCAATCTTTATTACATCTTACTTACATGTAAATCATTTAATTTACGCCATAGATTAGGACGAATTAGTTCTTCAGTCCTTTTGCTCCGGTGGAAGGTTCAAACTTTCTACTAATAAAATATTCTGTGGTTTTGAGAGCTCTCAAGGTCAAATCTGAGGGGTTTCAAACTTTTGATTGATGATTTTTTTCGATTAAATGTTTTAACAATCGAGGTATGTTTTTCTCTACATTAATTGGAGCATTGAGATATTGGTGAATTTTGTGTTGCAATGATTAAAAAACATCAGATTAAATCCAAATTTTGGTAATGCATGTCACTGTTTGTGATTTATATCAAATTTAAGCCAAATTCGGTAATGCATGTCACTGTTCTTATTCTTTTCTCTGTTAAATTTCATTTTTCTGCATAATTATCAGTGTCAAATGTCTCAGAATGTCAACATTCACAGCTTATTTTCATAATTGTTATAATTTTTTTATCTATTTATTATCATTAATATATTTTTTATTTTTTTATTATATTACCGGTTCAACCAGTGATCCAACGGTTGAACCAATAATCAATTCACTCTCCCGGGTTGATGTCCGAGTCGGGTTTTAAAACTATGCATTTAATGCCCCTTCAAGCTATTGACATTGGCACAATTAAAATAAACATAATTACATTATTTACCAAAAATAACATTAACAAACCAAATTGATTTATTCTTACTAAATTAGGTAATATATTAAATTTCGATCTTAATATAGTTACTTATTGATTCAGATTGTTATTTTTAAAATATTTGTTTTGCTTGAATATGTTCATGATAAAATATAAATCATAGTATGAAAAGCATAGAAAAGAGAAAATGAATGATTAATTTAATCTGAAAAGAGAGTCATTGATATATTTGTTACCACTAATATAAAAAAATATGACAATAACTTGAAGCGAAGATTTAGTGGTTGAAGAATGCATCACATTTAATACAATCACAAATAAAGAAAAAATTGTACAAAAAATATTATAATGAACACCAAATAATTTAAAAGTGAAACAAATAAAGGTGAAAATATTACAAAAAATAAACTGGATCATATTGTAGTAAATATTTATGTTTCGAGGCAAAAGGCGACAATTTGTTTAAAATAAAAATATTAATATATTATTTTAATATTTATATTAAATTGTTGATGGCCCTATTTAACATGGTCGCTTAAGGCCTCAATTTTCATTTAGCTGTAAGCAGATGCAAACAAGAGTTGGCAACCTTTTAGCTGCGCAGTGCAACAATGCAATTATACTTTTTACTGCTATCCCATTCAAAATTTTCATATCCTATCGATGTGGGATGGCTGCTACGGTATTTATAGCTGTAAAATTACTATAATTATTTTCTTTTATGTTGTTGAGAAAAAAAGAGGTGAGTGCAAGAAAGGGTGTTCATCGAAAATCCTGTTAGACCCTCTGGTAGGATCATAAGGTCCTTGGTCGCGCCTGAAACACCTCTTGAGACCAGACCTAGTTAGACTAACATAGCGGCTAACCACTAAGTCTTAATGGAGATTTCAAAACTCGAACTCTCAACCTTTAGATGAGGAGTAAGTCTCTGACTGCTTGTAAAATTATTTAACTTGCTGATAGGTCACCAATGGGGGATGACTTGTTTTGCTCTAAAATTTTGCTTTCCATTTTTTCTTTATCACTAAGAAGTAAATTTTTTTTCCCATTTATAGCACTTTGACATTCACTTTTTTTTTTTTTGTGGGTATCACAATGCTTTGCATATAAATTTGGTGGTCTAAGTAACGCTTCTGCTCTCAATTTTTTAAAAAAATTTATACTGTCACGCTTCAACACACGCTCTATGTGATCTAGGGGTTACCGCGGTTTGAAGCCTAATTAGTGTCTTTAATGGTTGGATACAAAGCGAAGAAAGAAAATAGCATTATAGATTGGGAGTATTTTAGAACTTTTCTATTTTTCATCCACCAAGTCAATTAAATTAGTCCTATGAAAATTTGAAGGGTACATATTGTTAAAATTGAAACCAGAAAGAATTGATTGTAACATGACTTAAATTTGGAGGGGACATTTTGTAATTCACTCAATTACTTTTTGTCCATATTTAAGTATTACGGGACAAGTTTATGATAAAAAATCGTTAATAGTTTAAATGTTATTTGGTTGGGGGACCATATAGAAACATATTCAATACTTTATTGACCAAAATGATACAATTGAAATATTATATATCAAAATAAGACAAATTATATATTTTAGGAACCTTCATTACAATTAACCCAAACTAAAAAGTAAAACAGTTCAAAAAAATATTATCAAACGAAATCTAAGTTTTTAAAAATTAAATTCAAATAATAGTTTCGAATTAACCTAAAGAAGAGAGGATGATGTTCACCACTTAACTCCCACAAATCAAGTCCATTAATAATTAGGGGCTTTGCACAATCCTTATGGAGTAAATATTGGGTGTGACGGTTACACTACATAAGTATTCTTAAGTGGTGTAACGGTTCAATAGTAAACAAACAAATGGCAAGTAAACTTTACTTTTTTGACACGTGACCATTACCGTTTTTTATATGGAGGAGTGATTATTTGAATAAATAAATTCCATTTTTTCTAATTATTGAATTATCAATCAATAGTTTTTTATATGGAGGAGTGATTATTTGAATAAATAAATTCCATTTTTTCTAATTATTGAATTATCAATCAATAATTACATCACGTAACAACGTAGAGGTGGTGTAACCGTTCCACCCAATTAGGTCAGTCCGTGAACTTCTTATCTCCGTACAAGTTATGTCATGGCTTCCTTAGCACATGCTGCCCACGGTTCCATTCAGCAAACATAAACATTTCTAAATGACTCTGCACTAAACTTTTGCATCTTTTCAACCATTTAGAAAAAAAAATTTGACAGGATTAAGACATGTTTTGTCAATGTAATTTATCTTTTTTTTTTGTTTAACGGTTAAGGGTATTTAGATTAATTTATGTATACTTCGATTAATTTTCTCTTCAGTCTGATCAAAAGTAATTCATCTATACTGGGACTAAGACATTCATCAAAGATAAATTCTTCGTGACTTTATCCTAAAAAATTGTTAAAATTTAAGCTCAAAAGATTAAGTTATCACTTATTGTCAACAAAGGCGTCTCATGTGTTCCAAAAGGCACTCTTCAAAGTCTGGTAAACATTATGATCAAAAATAAAAAAAAAAAGTCTCCACCTTCTTTGGTATAATTTTCATCAACTATACTCAAAAATGGAATATTTAACTGTGTCCTAGCGAGAACTTCACGTATATATCTATATAATAAAATAGTTTATAATTTAAATATTAAAAGATAAATAAAATAATTTTTGTTATTCGCGGTTGAAATTCTTTTAAATTTTACTTTAAAGTTAAACTAACGACTAATATTAACACTTTAAATTTAATAAAAAAAAAAATAGGTCCTAACGGTGTGTTTGAAGTGATTTTTTAAAAATACTTTTACAAATAATTTTTCATAAATTGTTTTTAACAAATAATGTTTGAAACCGTCTCACCACTACCTCTACTACCACCACTGCCACCGTCACCGCTACCACTATCGTCACCACCACCACCGTTATCGTCGTCACCACCACCACCATCATCATCGCAGCCCTTGCCCTCGACCCCACCATCGCTATCACGGTCATTGTCACCCACCACAGTGGCAAATATTTTAGCCACCCTTTTATCATATTTTTGAATCTTCGTCGATAGCCTTTGTTAGTGTGTGGCGAGTAAGTTTTACCTTTATCCAACCAACAAAAAAAAATTTAAAAATTTAGAAAAATTAATTTTTTGCTAATTTTTGTCCTATTAAATATGCAAAAATTAACAAACAAAATAAATATATAGATTCATTTATAAGTTCATGTCGAACGCTAGTCAACTTAAATCCAACTCATTTAACTAGTCTCAATGCATCACACAAGTTATCATTTGTTCATAACCTAATGCCTCGTATGTTTGATGAATCTAATAACACAAAGATTAAGTCTATTAAGCACATTCATAAAATTTAAATTTATTCACTTTATTGTTTTGTTCTGATGTGAAATAAAGCATGGTGTGTCAATCCAATCGAATTTTAATCAGCTCGAATTGAATTTTAATTGGTCTAAATTTTAATACGTAAAAAATATAAATTTTAATCGATTTAAATTTTAATATGTAAAAAATAAATTTTAATCAATTCAAATCGAATTTTAATCGCCCTAAATTTTAATACTTAAAAAATATAAGTTTTAATAGACTCAAATCGAATTTTAATCAGTGTTATTACCTCCGGATTGAATTCAAATCAGTTCGAATTTTAATACGTAAAAAAAATAAGTCTTATCGGCTCAAATTAATTTTAATTAGCTCAAATTTTAATATGTAAAAAAGTAAATTTTAATTGACACGAATTTAAATATGTAAAAATATAATATTTAACCAGCTCGAATTTTATGTAAAAAAAACTGCTTGAGATTTATGTAAGGGTAATTTTGATATTTTAGATTTTCTTAGTTAGAAGCGGTGGTTTAACAATATAGGAATTAGTAATGTTTAAATATAAATTAAAAGAGATGATAGTGAAGATTCAAAAAATAGATAAGGTATCTCTGTAAATATGATAAATTAGAATGAGCACAACTATCATTAGAACGAGTGTGACCGGAAATTTTCCTTTAAAACAGACTATAAGAAGAAGCAATTGACAGAGGCAGAAGAAGCAACCACAGATCTCATGTCAAGCCAGGGGGTGAAGTTAGTGGGGTTCTGGGTGAGTCCATTTGTCTTGAGGGTAGAGTGGGCTCTGAAACTGAAGGGTATTGAGTATGAGTACATAGAAGAAGACATCTTCAACAAGAGCCCTCTGCTCTTGGACCTCAACCCTGTGCACCAGAAGGTCCCTGTGATGGTTCATGATGGCAAAGTCATGGCCGAGTCGTTTGTTATTCTCGAGTACATCGATGAGACCTGGAAGCAGACCCCATTGCTGCCTCAGGATCCTTATGAAAGAGCCATGGCCAGGTTTTGGGCAAAGTCTGTTGAAGAGAAGGTAATAATTACAGCTATTTCACTTATTTTCATAACTATTTTTTAAATTTGTTAAATTTTGGCCCTATATTTGAAATTTTCGAATCAAATATGAGAAAACTCCTCCATTATCCCTAGTTTAGAAACATGCCGACATGAAAATGAGGGATTTCATTCGGAGGCTTCTACTACGGGATGCCCAACCCAATTTTACTACGTCGTTGTTCCACGTCCATCATCACTTATACATCGAAAATGGTGAACCTTAACCCTCTTAGTGGTATGACTTTCTTAAATGGCCTTATGTTCCGTAGCTAATTTAGCTGATAGTTTAGTACTGCTAGCATAATAATATATTATCACTACGAATAATATATTTTTATCAATACTGATAATATATTTATACTCGTTTTACTGATCACTTAAATTATTATTAATTGGGATTAACTAAGATTGGACTGTTTTTAATTAGGCAACTAGCTTAAAATTGGGATTTTCCCATCCAAATTTAGGTGTCAAACATTTGAAGTGAGGGAAATATTTTTTTAACGGTTTAATGCATGAGACTCTCACCACAGTGGCAATTTCGCGTAAAATACAAACCAAAAAAATAAATAAATAACTTTCACCATACATGAATAGAAATTTTCCTTAAGTATATACTGAAGTAAAACTTTTTATGGTAAGTGTACGAACAAAAATTTGCACAGTCACTAAAATGTATTGAAGTATACCCTTTGTCTTTGAATATCATTTAGTATGTGAGCTACAAAACAAACATGAGGTTAGAGGGACCCCCAATGTTGAGGCGGGAGAAGTCCCCCCAATACTTAAGTCAGTATTGCGATCAATAATTGAACAGACAAATACAAAAAATTAGGAAAATTGTAAGAATGTGTGTGTATAAGGTGTGTAGCTGAGAGTTCTCATAACAGGGTCTTCCTACCTTTGGGTCTTCACCCATCTTTATAGAGAAAATTCAAACCTGCTTACTAGTAAGAGGTCATGCTCCTTGTGTTGTTATATTCTCGAGATATGTGCCTTTCTTTTCGGATATTAAAATTTATGTTTGATTCCAATCAACTGGTCAAAAAAAATTGTCGGTTTTGTATTGTCTTGAAAAATAAATTATGGGTTCCACCATGTGATACGGGGCTCTCCCAATAAATGTAAGTTATGGTCTTACATTAATTCTTTTTTTTTTATTTCGACCCCTTTTCAATTCTCTGATACTATTTTTGCACAGCTTTTGGATACTGCATGGATAGCTATGTGCTCACAAGGAGATGAAAAGGAAAATGCTCTGAAATCAGCCAGGGAGGTCTTAGAAAAGATAGAGGGAGAGCTCAAAGGAAAAAAGTTTTTTGGAGGGGAAGCCATTGGATATTTGGACCTTGCTATGGGATGGATTTCTTTCTGGTTGCCTGTTTGGGAGGAAGTTGGGTCCATGAAATTTTAGACCCATCAAAATTCCCAAACATCATTGCTTGGATGAGTCATTTTCTTAAACACCCTGTGGTCAAGGAAAGGCAACCCCCTAGAGATGAGATGGTTATATATTGCGACAAGCGTAGTGAAGAAATTGCTGCTCTCATAGCCTCAGCCAAACATGGTTGATAATAATAATTTGAATAGTGCTCTACTTATTATACAAGTATTAATAAATGAAAGAAATAAATAATGAGAAAATCATGCCACTGATCATGGTTGTTTGGTTGAGTTTTGGTATGCATAGTATTTTTCTTTTTTATATTTATAGAGAAGAAATATCACTTCATAATAAGAAATTTTTCCTCATAAATACCCGCGTTCTAAATAATCTATCATTGACCGGAGCAGCATTACAAGAATTAGGGCCTATTGAAACACTTTTAGTTACAGTTGTGTTCACCGTTATAAAAAAAACGTTTTTAAAGGAAAAAAAATATTTTGTGGCGATAGTATTGTCATAAAAACTTATTTGATAACTGTCATAATAAATGGAGTTTCAAAAAAATTTTATGGTGGCCATGAGTCATCTCAAATAATATTTGTAACAGTAAATAATCATTTTATGATCACACTATCATCTCGAAAAACTTTTTTTCTTAAAAAACATGATTTTTTGTGACAGTAAACATAGCTGCCACAAGAAAAAAATTGTCTTAAAAGTCGAATTAGTTGAAATACACGTAAATTGGTCTAGACACGTCTAACCGTTGAAACAAAAAATTTAAAAAAAGAAGAGCAATGCACAGAACTTGGTACTGGACCCATAAGAGAAAATCATGTTTTTATTAACTCGTGATTTAAAACCCCCATTCCCTAATACAAGTACTTAGACTGGAGCTCATGTACTTTAGTCTCCAGTCTCTCCATGCCTTGAGGCTTTTTTATTCCTTAAAGACAACATTGTACTTCATACATAACATTGTTAAATTTTACATTAAACCATCAGTCCCTGGATGATTTAGACCGCAGCGGCCCAAACACTCTCAGCTCATCTCTGTTGTACTTCAAATTTCTAGCTTCTTCCCTAGAAATGTCATACGAGTTTGCTAGCACTTCCTCCGGCATAGCTCGGAGAGCAGAGAGTCGTCCGGCAAGAGGGATACTCATCGCATTATCGTTGGTCTTGAAGGACACGAATTCAAGGCCTTCGTTGCCAGCCTTCTTCAACACTGCGTAGTTTTGTGGAATGACTAAAAGTTGTCCCTCTCGGACCTCACCATCGAAAACGGATCTTCCGGAGTCCCCGACTACTTGAACACGACCACTCCCTCTGGTTACGTACATTGCAGAATGTGCATTTATGTTCCAGTGAGGTGCCAAGATAGCATTCTACAATCAACATATATGAACACAATTAGCAATAACATAGCATCTAATGGTCTCTCTCTCTCTCTCAACAAAACACGACACTTTGTCCAAATTTTTGGACTTACGACTAAACCTCAATGGATCAGATTCGGACCAAATCTCAGCCAATATGAATTTGAATCCATTTTTGAAATTTGATTTTGATGGATATCAAAATCATAATTTAAATTCAAATCTGTTAATCATTAAACATCCAATCCGAATAAATTGAATTTCTATAAAAATTACCCCAAATAATAAAAAATTGCAGCAAATTTTTGCTAAATTTCAGTTTAGTTTCATCAATAAATCACCCAATTCTGCCAATTCTAATTTTATTTCATCATCTAACCACCTAATTCAACATCAAAAAGTGAAAAAAAAAAAAAAAAAAGAGAGAGAGAGAGAGGGAAAAGGAGCAGTGACAGAGAGAGAAAAAGGGTGGGTCATATGACTTTTGTGCTTTAATACACGGACATATAAATATGTATGTATGTGTGTGTATATATATATATATAAAGTTTTAATCGGTCATATGACTTTTTTACATATTAAAACTCAAGATTTCGAGGTATTAATCCTTAAAATCTTATCATTTGAACTAACGTGGGGGAGTAATATGATTGATTTTGTATTACCGTTGCTTACCTTATAGAGGACCCCTCTCTTAGCACTTAATCGGAGCAAGCTCAGGACGGGAAGCTTGTCACTGTTGACGCTGCTAGTACGTCCTCCACGTGGATTGTACACATCAGCACGTCTAGGGCTGCCCAAGTTGTATCTAAGCTTCAATGTGCATGTAATTTCCTCTAACCCATTGGGGTTTGGACTTCCCCTCCCATGTTGTCTTTCTTCTTCTTCTTGTCTGTCGAATTCTGGGATTGTGACTTGGAACCTGTCGGCTCGGACAATTCTGCCCCTCTGGTCATCTTGTCCCTGTAATTTCCTAGCTGTCTCAGAATCAACATTGAAAATGTCAGCTAGAAGTTCCTGATCGAAGCCATTGAATACGCTTTTGAATTCTTGTTGTTCGCCTCTTTGACTTTGCCCTTCCTGACCACCACGACCTCCCTCTTGTTCTGAGCTCCCAGCAAGGAAGAATTTCTGAGTGCATAATATATCCAAAAAAACAACCACTTAAAACATTCTCACGATGTGTGTAAATTAATTCTGGATTTATATATATATTCGGATTCGGAGTTTGATTCATATTGCGGTTAGAGATTGGACACATGATATCACTTAAAAAATAACACGCGGTCACTTCAGTCATAAAACTTGATGAGTTGTCTGATTAACGAACAGAATAACACGAATTAAATACTCTAAAGATTAAATTAACAAAATTAATACAATAAGAACTGAACTAAAAATATATATATATTTTAAAAACCAAAATGTTATTAATCCTATATATATATATATATATATATATATATATATATATTATACTACGATTAAGGGTGCCCAACTTGTTTACGTTCACTTCAACTAAATTTCTTTCTAGTCCAGTCAAAGACAAACTATTTACATTAGGATTAAGAAATTTATAGAAGATAAATCCTGATAGCCTTGACCAAATGGAGTTTTCAAATTTCAAACCGATGACGAAGTTTGAATTTAAAGCTTAATCCTTTCGCAAAAGGCTTAAATTTCTAGAGCATTACTATCTCCCTCCCATTTGAGTAAATATTGAATGTAACGGTGATACCATATCACTATTGATGACATGTTGTCACCAACCAGTAATAAAACCTCAAATAAAAAAGATAAACCCTACTTGAACTTACATGACAAGTAGATAAACAGTTATCTACTTACATGATAAATTAATTATTGATTTTTATGAGATTCATGTACTTATTTATTTCAATATTATTAGTTAGTGATACTTCGTCATCTCGCCACGTAGTATGACCCTGGTAATGAATATTTTCTCCTCCTATTGTAGCCTGCAAGTCACAAAACCCCTTGGATTGGATCTTACCCTGTAGTTCTCATCAAGCTGGTTAGCTTCGTTTCCGGTGTCGATGATTGCCACGCAAATAAGAGGCAGCTCTCCGTCGTTATAAGCCCAATGAGATAAACCTGCCGGCAAAGCGAGGATATCACCCTCTTGAATTCGTCGAACTTTCTGATGCCGATCTGTAGACCTCTGCTCTCTATCACCAGTACTTGACTGTGATCTTGTTTCATACGTCTCAGCACAACCCGGAAGAACAGTTCCCTGAATACCCCTACCTGCATTAATCAACAACAATTTCAATCAAATTCACAATCTTATCTCACTAACAAATTGTGTGTGTGTGTGAGAGAGAGAGAGAGAGAGAGCTGGCCTTGGACGACATAAACGAGCTGAGGAGCACTGTTGTAAGCAGGCAACAATAGGCCCCTAGCCTGGATGACATGGCGAACAGCTTTCAGTCCGGCACACCCGAATTCCCCATCGTTTCTGTCCCAGAACTCGGTGGTGCCGGCCTCGGACTCATACCGGCGGTTGGGTTCTTGGGCATTAAGCCTCTGAATACGGCACTGATCATCACCACTTCTTGCACGTTGCGGGTGTCCCTGTTGCTGCAGGCCTTGCCATTGTTGTTGACGCTCTATCTGAGAAAAAACGCCATGAAAGAGAAAAAGAAAGCAAAGTCCAAGAGAGAAAAATTTGCAGAATCCATTGTGAAATTCAGCAACAGAGAGAGAGGTACTTGCTGTGATGTGAAGCGGCTGTTAGACTGGGTTGGTATATATAGGAATGCAAGGATGGTTAGGGTTTGACACGTAGAGATTGTTGCTGAGAACTGAAAAGCTTTGTCTTCTCTCTCTGCATGTCTTACTGGTGCATGGATGACAAATGCTGTTTCACTCACACCTTGAAGCTTAGGTTAAAGTATGTGGCAGTGATCTGATAAAAAAAGTCCAATTGTTCATGTTGGTATTTGCATGCTCGTTTGATGTATATGTGATGTGTTAAGGAGTGGATCCAGATGATCCCTCTCTTAAAAGAATAATGTTACGTGAACTTAAAAAATAGACTTAATGTTGTTTGAATTTCTTCTTTGCATTTTTTTTTTTTGAACAGTATTATTGAGACTTAATTTACTGATCTAATTCACTATAACCTTTGGATTGACTGTGGGTTCTATCAAATATTGGAACTTGGTGTTAATCCAATAGTTCTAATAAAGTCATATCATTAGGTTAACAAATTATGTCAGATTTTTAGGTCCAAATAACATTTTTTTTTCTTTTGTTTTTTTGCTATGGAATACAGGGGTGCAACTTAGGCGGGCTAACCCGAGTCTAACCTGAAAAATTTAGGGTTTGGGCTAAGGTTTTTAATTCTTGGGTTAAGTTTGAATCAAAAAATCTCAACCCGAATTCAATTTGAACGAGTCTCGGGTTGACCGATTATCGGCTTGAACCCGATTAATCATAACCATATAAATACATTTTTAAGGCCTCACTATTTAAGCAATGAACTCTATGATTGTACAATGATTCTAATTGTGTTTATTTGTGTTTTGTTTGGTTGTGGTTGCATTATCTCAAACGTTGAGTTCTTAATATTATAGTTTTTATGTTAAAAACTTGTTTGAAGTTGTTGGTTGTTAATTTAGGCAA